TTTTGAAAAACCATTGGCTTTTTTAATGTTTTTATGTTAAAATCGCTACGAAAGCTAAGGTTTTGGAAGGATTTCGTCTTGCGCGCGCGAATGTCAACTTTACCTTATTTTTTGCAAGGGATTCTTGAAGTTTGGTTATGTTAGAACAAGAAATGTCCACTTTAGCTTATTTTTTGCAAGGGAAAACCGATCGTAACAACACAACCGGATCCGGACCAACCCGTTTTGCCTGAGACTTCCTCACGAAAATGATGAAAATGAGGCTGCGGCCTAGGCGCGGCGGGGGGGTCGCGCACCAGGGGCCCCAACAATAATTATTCTTTAGAAGAAATAATGTTCACAACAACAACAACAACAACAACAACAACAACAACAACAACAACAACAACAACAACAACAACCATTTTAAGGCTGTGCGCTCTTACTTGCCCGCGAGTCATTCAACACGTATACCCTACACCCTCGATGCCCGCCCTCTTCGTCTTCGATCACACCCCTTTCGGGGGGATTATTTCTCTTTGCTGGGGCCGGCGGGCTTAGACGTACGGGCAAACCGGAACGGGCGGACAATCCTTCGGGGGCGTACATCTCTCTGCCCGCCATTGGAATTGGCGCGGGCCCTGCAAGAGGAGGAGGGGAAGAACGAGGGAGAGTGGGAGGAAGGGGAGGGGGAAGGACGAAGGAAGAGGGAAGATACCACGTTGTGAAGGCGTCCTTGGCGCGCGCGTGGTTCCTGAGCGCCGAAACGCAATTCCAGAATAATTTGTGAGGACGTCGCACGCGAGAGCGCAGTCCTGAGTACATTGTGAGGAAATCTCGGGCGGAAGCGGGGGCCCTGACTAAGTTGCGAGGAAGTCTCAAGCGGGAGCGCCGTTCCTGAGCAAATTGCACGGAAGTCTCAGGCGGGAGCGGGGGTCCTCACTAAATTGCGAGGAAGTCTCAGGCGGGAGCGCCGTTCCTGAGTCAATTGCGCGGAAATGTCAGGCAGGAGCGGGGGTCCTGAGTAAAATTCGAAGAAGTCTCAAGCGGGAGCGCCGTTCCCACGTAAATTGCACGGAAGTCTCAGGCGGGAGCGGGGGTCTTGATTACATTGCGAGGAAGTCTCAAACGGGAGCGCCTTTCCTGAGTAAATTGCGCGGAAGTCTCAGGCGGGAGCGGGGGTCCTGAGTAAAAATCGAGGAAGTCTCAGGCGGGAGCCGTTGTTGTTGTAGCCCGGGGGGCAGGGGCACAGTTTGAGCAGGAAGACTTTCCTTGAGAAAAAACAAGGTGCGAGCCCCGGGGGTGGCACTTCAATCGAAAAAATCAATGTGCACCGGTGGGGGGGGATCAACAATAATTATTGTTCAAGAATGAGAGTTCAACAACAACAACAATAACAACAACAACAACAACAACAACAGCAGCAACAGCAACATCAACAACAACAACATCATCAACAACAACAACAACAACGACAGCAACAACAACAACAACACCACCAACAACAACGCCAACAACAACACCAGCAACAACAACAACAACAACAACACAAACAGCAACAACAACAACGACAACAACAACAACCATTTTAAGGCTGTGCGCTCTTACTTGCCCGCGAGTCATTCAACACGTATACCCTACACCCTCGATACCCGCCCTCTTCGTCTTCGATCAGACCCCTTTCGGGGGGATTATTTCTCTTTGCTGGGGCCGGCGGGCTTAGACGTACGGGCAAACCGGAACGGGCGGACAATCCTTCGGGGGCGTACATTTCTCTGCCCGCCATTGGAATTGGCGCGGGCCCTGCAAGAGGAGGAGGGGAAGAACGAGGGAGAGTGGGAGGAAGGGGAAGGGGAAGGACGAAGGAAGAGGGAAGATACCACGTTGTGAAGGCGTCCTTGGCGCGCGCGTGGTTCCTGAGCGCCGAAACGCAATTCCAGAATAATTTGTGAGGACGTCGCACGCGAGAGCGCAGTCCTGAATACATTGTGAGGAAATCTCGGGCGGAAGCGGGGGCCCTGACTAAGTTGCGAAGAAGTCTCAAGCGGGAGCGCCGTTCCTGAGCAAATTGCAAGGAAGTCTCAGGCGGGAGCGGGGGTCCTCACTAAATTGCGAGGAAGTCTCAGGCGGGAGCGCCGTTCCTGAGTCAATTGCGCGGAAATGTCAGGCAGGAGCGGGGGTCCTGAGTAAAATTCGAAGAAGTCTCAAGCGGGAGCGCCGTTCCCACGTAAATTGCACGGAAGTCTCAGGCGGGAGCGGGGGTCTTGATTACATTGCGAGGAAATCTCAAACGGGAGCGCCTTTCCTGAGTAAATTGCGCGGAAGTCTCAGGCGGGAGCGGGGGTCCTGAGTGAAAAACGAAGAAGTCTCAGGCGGGAGCCGTTGTTGTTGTAGCCCGGGGGGCAGGGGCATAGTTTGAGCAGGAAGACTTTCCTTGAGAAAAAACAAGGTGCGAGCCCCGGGGGTGGCACTTCAATCGAAAAAAATCAATGTGCACCGGTGGGGGGGGATCAACAATAATTGTTCTTCAAGAATGAGAGTTCAACAACAACAACAACAGCAACAACAACAACAACAACAACAACAACAGCAGCAGCAGCAGCAGCAGCAGCAGCAACAGCAACAGCAACAGCAACAGCAGCAGCAACAACAACAACAATCATTGTGAGACTGTTCGCTCTTATCTGCTCGCGCGCCAGTCAACACGTATATTCCCAACCCTCGGCGCCCACCCTCTCCGTCTTCGACCGTACCCCCTAATGATATATCTCTGTTACCTGTCACGTGCATTTCGTGCAGTGACCGCAGGTCTGGTTAATGGCTCAAGGTTGGCTGGCGTGGCCTGGCGGCACTGCCCGGCCGCGCTGCCGCCGGGGCGGCATGTAGACTCGGGCGGCGCAGACGCGGCGGCATCGGTGGCTGCGCGCCGCGGCCGCCGCTGGTGCCGCTGGCGCCGCGCGCGCTGCGTGCGCTGCGGGCAGCGCGGGCGCCGCGGCGCTTTGGGTGTCGCGGGCGCTGCCGCCGAGGCCGCCACCGCGGCGGCCGCCGCTGGCGCCGCTGGCACCGCTGGCGCCGCGCGCGCCGGGGGCCGCGCGAGCGCCGGCGGCCGCCCTCTCCCACGCGGCGGCCGCCGCCGCCGCGGCGGCGACGGTGCCGGACGGGCCGCCTGGCCTGGCGCTGGCTGGCGCTGCGGGCCCAGCGGACAAGGGATCAGGCAGGGGCAGCGGCAGCCGGCCCTGGTGCTGCTCGGCGAGACGCTGGGCGTGAAGCTGTGGCCCACCATCATCTGCCACAGCATCCCGGTCAATGCGCGCGGGAATGACGGGCAGGGGCAGGGGGGACCTGGCCCTGGGAGATGCTGGGCATGAGACTGGAGCCCACCACCATCAGCTACAGCGCCCCGACCAGCGCGCGCGACGCGAACGGGCAGGGCAGCGGCGGCGGGGCACAGCGCAGCAAAATGGCCCACCCCCATCTGCTACAGCGCCCCGATCAACGCGCGCGAAAATAACGGGCAGTGGCAGCGTCAAATGGCCCGGGGAATGCTCAGCGAGATGCTTGGAGCGAAGCTGGAGCCCACCATCATCTGCCACAGCACCCCGATCAGAACGTGCTAGACGAAGGGCAGGCGAGCGCAGCTCAGCGAGAAGCTGGGCGCGAGGCTGGGGCCCGCCACCCTCAACTACAGCACCCCGGCCAACGCGCGCGAGAAGGACGGGGCGGGGCAACGGCAGCCGGCCCTGGCGCTGCTCAGCGACATGCGAAGAATGAAGCTGGAGCCCACCATCATCTGCTACGGCGCCCCCATTGGCACGTGCGAGACGAGCGGGCAGGGGCGGCGGCGGCTGGCCCGGGCGCTGCTCGGCGAGGTGCTGGGGGCGAAGCTGGAGCCCGCCATCATCTGCCACCTACAGCATCCTGATCGTCACGCGCGACAGGGGCGGGCAGGGGCAGTGGCAGCCGGCTCTGCCGCTGCTCAGCGAGATGCTGGGAGTGAAGCTGGGGCCCGCCATCATGTGCTGCATCGCCCCAATCAGCACGGCGAGACGACCGGGCAGTGGCAGCGGAAGCTAGCCCCGGCGCTGCGCAGCGAGATGCTGGGCGCGAAACCAGGGCCCGCCATCATCTGCTACAGAATCCCGATGAGCGCGTGCGAAAAAGATGGGCAGGGGCAGTGGCGGCCGCCCCTGGCGCTGCTCAGCGAGGCACTTGGAGTGAAGCTGGACCCCACCGTCATTTTCTACAGCACCCCGATCAGCACGTGCGCGACGAACGGGCAGGGGCAGCGGCCACTGGCCCTGGCGCTGGTCAGCGAGATGATGGGCGAAACTGGAGCCCACCCTCATCTGCCACAGCATCCCGATCAGCGCATGCGAGAAAGAAAAGCAGAGGCGGCGGCAGCCTGTTCTGGCGCTGCTCTGCGACGATGCTGGGAGCGAAACTGGAGACTACAAGCTACAAGCACTCCGATCAGCACGCGCGAGACGACCGGGCAAAAGCAGAAGCAGCAGGCCCTGGCGCTGCTGAGCGAGATGCTGGGCGCGAAGCTGGGGCCCGCCATCATCTGCTACATCGCCCCGATCAGCGCGCGAGAAGGACGGGCAGGGGCAATGGCAGCTGGCCCTGGCGCTACTTATTGTATATTGTTCAGACTTCCGCCTCCCCTCGAAGTCCTGCCGTTTCCCCATCCCCCTCGTCCCTTCTCTGTGCCCCCTGCTCCCTCCCGCGCTCCCCCGCTCCCCCCACCCTCTCCGCAGACCTTCTGCTGACCGCCCTCCTCCATCCTCATCATCATCCTTTCATGGAGGGGCCCAGGGACTTGAAAAATCAATGAACACAGATCCAAGGATTCACAATATGTTTCCATACGTTCTGGATGTTCGTCCTCGCCCCACTTCCCATATTTCCCTGTATCTTCCCATATTCTCCTGGGAATCGACGATTCCCTGCTGATGTCCATCCTCCTCGTCCTCCACCCCCTCATCCTCCTCCTACCAATGTTTCCGCGCGTCGCGTCCGACCTTCTTCTTGTTCACCTCGAGGATCTGGCCCTGCCGCACCGAGCCATCAGACAAGTTGACGTTCACGATCTCGCCGTAAGTGGGAAACCTCCCTTGTGCTCGTTCTCCAATCCGCGGCCGCCGCCGCTGCTTCCGTCGCCGCCTCTTCGCCTTCGCACACCCTCCTCCGCCACTGTCCGCAATATCCTCGCACTTTGCTCCCTCATTCTTGCCTCCCGCCATGGTTTGTCCTCCATGTTCTCATCATTCCCATCCTTGCTCCCCCTGTCCTCCTGCTACTTACCAATATATTTGATAATCAAGGTGTGGGTGGCATTGTGCGTGCGAAGTACTTATTCGCGCCCAGTCTCCAATAATATCGGTCATCGCGGAACGTTTGAGTCGCCTCCAGGCCACGCTTCGCCCTGCTCCGACACTGCAGGGGCGCAACAACAACTGTTGAGGTTAACTTGTCGAGGGCTGTAAGTTTCCTCAAAATCCACGGTGCCTGCAAGCCAGCTACACTCGCCTCCAAAACGGTTGAAACGGCCCCAAGGGAGCCCACTATGGCCCACAAATGTTTCCAGTGCGGTCCAAGATGCACCCGAAACGACCCAAGATGCCCCCCAAATGGCCCAAGGGGCCCCCATGACGCCTCAAGAGGGCTCCAAGAAGACCACCAGGCTGCCAATGTCATTCATTGCTTTCCGGTGTTACAATGATTAGCGTTCTCACCTTTTCGGGTCCCTGCCGCTCGAAGACGTCCTCCATAGGCCCCAAAGATCGCCCCAAGATGGCCCAAGAGAAGGCCCAAAGATGGCACAAAACGAACCAAGAGGCCCCTAAGACGGCCCCAAGACTGCCCCACAGACCTCCAAGTCGGCCTCAAAGCGCCCGAAGAGGGACTCGCGACTGCCCAGCGAGACCTCCAAGATAGCCTCCGAAGGCCATGAGGCCAAGAGACCCAATGAACCCCCCAAGAGGCCTGTCAGAGGCCACCGAAAATCTTCCAGGAAACCCGCAGCAGGTCACAAGACGATCTGAACAGGTCTCCTTGTCCTCCTCTTCCTCCTCTTCCTCCACGTCCTCCCTCTCATGTATTTCTTTTTCTCACAGGCGTTCCCCAAAGAAGGACCCACAACGGCTGGGAGGAGCACGTAGGTAGTTCCATAGCTTGGCCCAGCTCTGGCCCAACGTTTGGCCGCATGGGCGTTTCCAAAAAAGGCAGGGTGTGGCGCTGGTTCGCCGTAGGCGTCTTCGATACACCAGCAGCTTACGCTTCACCTAGCATCTCAATCAGACGGGCCTCCTGTCAGATAGAACACCTCAGCCCGAGTACAGCAACGTGTGACACCGAGATCGCATATTGAAAGTGATAGTTCGGGCCCCAATCCTCCCCTGATTCAGGAGCTCGCCGCCGTCGGTCCCTCACTCCCCGTCGGTACTTGACGTTGTCCATGACCCGCGGACTCCAGACAAGGAGTTCAACTTAGGCACTCTGCTAGACAAAAGCCCATCCAAAGGGATCATATTCCTCCACATCCTCCTATGCATTCATCGTCCTCCTCCTTCTCCTCCTCCTCCACGTCGTCCTCCGATTATCCCATTCCACCCTTTGTGACAACCATCTCACCTCGAGCACGTTCGATCCTCATCTCAACATTGTCATCCGTCCATCCTCAAATCCGCATCTCGTATCCATGCCGATGTCTACCTCGAGGAGCCACTACTTATGACATGCACTGGCGCGGCAAAACGCTGGGCGACCTCCCCCGTTTAGCCCTGAGAAGAGCCAACGCGCGGACAAGCGGGGCCTATATTGCCATGCAGGGGGTGCGCGCACGGCCACGCCACCAGGCCACTCGGATCACCAGCGGGCCCTCGACACCCTCAATCGTCCTGGGGGCGCGCGGCGAAGCCGGACGCGAGTGGGCAGGAGTCCCCCCTTCCCCCCTGCTCCGCCCTGGGAGGAGGAGGAGGAGGAGGAGGAGGAGGAGGAGGAGGAGGAGGGGGAGGAGGAGGAGGAGGAGGAGGAGGAGGAGGAGGAGGAGGAGGAGGAGGAGGAGGAGGAGAGGAGGAGGAGGGGGAGGAGGAGGAGGAGGAGGAGGAGGAGGAGCTGCTGCTGCTGCTGCTGCTGCTGCTGCTGCTGCTGCTATCTGCATCGATGTCCATACTAGTTGGCAAAAGCTATTTACTCGCGGGCACCGCAAAGCCTGGGTTTACCAAGGGGCCTGGGACTCGAACAGGGAACGCAAGGCCTGATGCCGCTGCTGTAGGCGCGCACAGCGCCAGCAGTGGCACCGCGGCGCGGGGGTGCTCGTCGGCGCTAGCTGCGAGCCAATTCTCTAGATCTGACTCGGGATCTGAAGGCCTCCAACCTAACCTCCCAAGGCCTGGCGCTTAAGGAGCGGAGGTAAGCGAGCGATGGGGACCTCAGAAGCGAGAGTGGGCGGGCGAGAAGCAGGAAAAAACAAAACAGACAAAGTGCCTACTCCCTCATCTTTCATCTGTCCCGCTGCTCCCGTCGCTATCACTTTGCCTTCAGACCGTATGCGAGCCCGCCCACGGGCGCCTTCCCTGGAAGCTCCTGGATGCCCGTCGCACGAAGGCACAACGTCACCAACCTGTTGATGTCCACCCACGTGTAGCCGCCCTTCGTATTCAGCTCTATTGGGTGGAGTTTCATCTGCGAGAGTTATGCTTCTTGCCCGTCGTTGGGTCCTACTGGCCAGTTCCTCTCGAAGTGGCATCCCAATCTCGATGTTGGAACCACTCCCTGCTTCTGTTGCCTTCCTCCCGCTCTGCAAGCTACGCACCAATCCTCGGAGTCCGCCGGTTGGTCTCGCAGCCGTGCCTCGTCCAATCGCCAGAGCGCTGCGAAGATGCAACGCGTGTTTTGGGGGGTGCCTTCTGTGGAAGTGCCTCCGAATGATGTCAGCATCGCGGCGGCGGCGTGCACATGGGGAGATCCGTGCTCGTGGCCTGCGCCTGCCTCTTTTACTAACTCCTCGCATCTGACTGCGGACGCCTTGATCGCCAAAAAAAAGGGTGGTCCGTGGGACCTTTGAAATGCATGTCGGCCGCCTCTCGCTCTCATCCGTGCTTCCAATCGTAGAAGTAACTTCCGTTCTTGACCCTCCGATCCTCGCCCGCCGTCCTTGCCCTGCTTCTTGCGTTCGGGCGGCCGCGCGCTCTGCAGCGCCTGCATTGATCTGGACCGCGCCGACATCAATATGTAGAACGCGTTGTTGCAGCTGCGGCAGCGCGCGCTTGCTGGCGAGATGTTGGCCCAACTTCGCCGGCGTCGGGGCGGCGCGCAAGCGCAATGGTCAATGCGCGCGCGAGTGTGAAACTCCGGGCGGGGCTCGCGCGCGAAAGTCAGATCTGCGCCGCCCGTGCTTGACCGCCGCGGCCAAATGCCACTGGGCTGTGGCTCGATCCGCAAAATTGATTTGGCAAAGGATACAATAGTTAGAAAGCATGGCTACGCGAGGAATCCTGTCCGCGGCGCAAATCTGTCTCGGGGCCCTGTCCGCGTCGCGTCTGCCTCTGGCGCGCGCCCCCGCGCAATGCGCCGCCGCGCTCGTCGATCCATGCAACTTTCATTATACGCAGGACACGCAATGCCTGGGACGCCACCAATGAGATTTCGGGGGCGGTGGGATTCACGATCTCCTCGTCTGGTCCTTGGCCTGGCGGAGGTACGTTGCGAGCTAGTTCTCGCGACCTAAATTCTGAACCGCCTATTCTCCCTCGTTTCAATATACTTAATTAAAAAAGAACCCCTGGCCCCCCTCTAAAGTATTTTTTAATTAAAAAACTGCCCCCCCCCCTCCCCCCCCCAAGCTCCGATTCAGAATCGGGCCACTCTGAGGCCCCCATCGAGTGCCTGCGCATCCTGCGCATGCTGGTCTAAACTCTGCTGCTCACATCTGGCCTGTCCTACAAGTGCTGCGACAGCTTGCCCGTGTGCTTGCTGGTGCGCAGCCATGTCTTGCAGCCATTTGTCGTCAAATACGCAGCTCCGTGAACAGCGCGCCAAATAAGATATCGTTGTACTTCTACATTTTACGGGGCTCGCGCGCGGCCCACGTGGAGTGCATTTGGCTCTGAGAACGACTCCGGCGAATCCGCGGGCGACCTGCGGAAGGAGGGGCGAGGCTCTGCTCTGTGATGGGGCTGCGCATGTTGAGCGCGTCCGCCTCCGATCCTGAGATAGCTGCATTTGCGATGAGCCCCGCGAAGACAATCCTTTTGAACCTCATGGAGACCTTATGCGTATACCAGAAATCGCCCATTCTGCGCCGCGCCGTGCGCGGCGCCTGCATTCGATGTTTCTTCCCTGCACAAGAAAGTATTGAAGTGTTGTCGCCCGCCTAGGTACCGAGCTCCTTCCGAGACCTGTCCAGCTATGTTCGCCTTCTGTTGCATGAAGCTTTCGATTGGTAAGTCCTGTATCTCTGCGTGCCCCCTGTGCTATGTTCATATGTTTGTCGATGTTCTGAGCTCCGCCTACCCCTGCCAATGCGTCGTCGTCCATGTTATTGTCCCACTCTGCGACCGCGGCCACGCGCTGGGCATTCGCCCAAATAATCTCGCGCGCAATATCATCAACAAAAACAGCCGCGGCAAGGTCGGCGCCAGCGGTGCGGCGCGTCGCTCTGACCTGTTCTGGGGGATTCATATGAAGAGCCTTCTGCCATGGATCTGCAGTCAACTCATCGATCATTCGTTGCATTCCCATGCCGCATGCTTTGACGGTAATCTCGGCGGCTGCGTGATCGCCAGGAATCGCGCAACTTTGATTTGCCAAGTGCCCACTGCGTACGCCATCGTCAATGATGGAAGTGCGGTTCGCTGTTCTCGGATCGAACATGTCCACTCGACCTGCTGGTGCAAGTTCATCAGCAACTGCTCCTGCTTGCAAATTGTGCGCGCAATAGAGCGAACGCATTGCTGGCGTCGTGTAGTCGCGTGACGCGGTGAACTCCTGCTCTGCGAAATCGTGCGGATCCGCGCATCTGAACCATCGCAGCGCCCTCTCTCCGCCGATGCGCAATGCCACCATGGGCCCAGTAGGGGGATTTCGCCTCTGCGCCCATCAACGATCGAAAGACAAATCTTCCCAATGCGCAGCATATCATAACGGGCCTCTCTTCTGCCGGGCCCCCCCGGTCATAGCGCTTCGGGGGTCGACGACAATGTGCCTGATGCCAAACTGCTGGGGCTCTGCCAACCTGTCGCATTGCGCGGCGCAGTGGGCGCAGGCATTCCTCGAAGACCGGCGCCTGTAGTTCAATGGTATCCTCGCCCTCTCCCTCGCCCCCCGTCGCGTCCGCAGACGCGACGCGAGGGCCCTCGCGCGCTGGAGTCTGATCAGCCGTCGAAGAGGTGGCGGGCCAGGGCGCGGCCCCCACGGGCCGCCGAGAGCCACCGCTGGCAGCCGCGTTAGACCCCAGGCCAGGGGGGGGGCATCCTGGGATCCAGGCCCAAAGGCGCCCAGCGTCGGGGGGGGGCGACGAGGCGGCTCCGATTCTGACGGCAGGCAGCCTGAATCCAACGTTGGAACCGCCCGGCCCTGCGCGTCGCAGCTGCCCACCTGCGCCCCGTAATCCTCGACGTCGCGCCCCCTTGCTGCACAAATTGGGGTGGGCCAGCGCCCGCGGGAGATCTCCTGGCGCGCTCCAATCTGGCGTTGATCTCCACGGCGGTAGCGTTTTGGTGGCCTGGCGAAGTTGTTCAAGGTCATGGAGTGCATTTTCACGTGCCGCCTGGTAGTCTATCATTACATCTTCCCGAGTTCCCACCCATTCCAGGCGCGTCTGACCTGAAAAAAGGATGTCTCCAAGAACCTATGGCGCGCTCAGGAACTGCGCATCTGAGCAATGCGCGTGCTTCTGCGCCTCCTTGAGTTCCCGCCTTCTGAACCTGGCTGGCCCAATCAAGTGCTGATGCCCTGGGCGCGAGGGCCTCGCTGCAATGCCTGCTTCGAGGTCCTCTGCACATGCCGCTAGCAGTCTTGCCAATCGATGCGCGTCGTAAGACTTGCGTTCTATCCAGCCCCCCCACAGCGCCTCAATTCGATCTGCCAATGATTGATCCATCATCTCCCGCTTCCTTCGTTTGAGCCGTCTGCCGAGTCGAGCTGCGCTGAGATCGAGGTCGGCATGTTCGCACTCTCGTACTTTAGCTTGTCGCCTGTCTTGAAGTAGCTGTCGCACCTCCTTGCACGGGTTGAAACTGTCTTCCACTTTTTCATTCTAAGCTGGGGCTTCTGTGAACTGAGCCCGCGCCACCTCGTCAACGCAGCGCGTCGTGCCCGCATTAATCAAATCAACATTGCCTTCGTATCTCCATTGTTCGAATAAGGACATATGCATCTGAAGTCGTGCGCCAACGTGTGTGATGAACTGTTCCCTCTGATGCCCATGCAATAGCATAGCGCTGCATCCGCGTTCGGCTTCCTTGGCCCTGTCAGCTGATGAACATGCTCCCATGAGTAAAAGAAAGAGTAGCTCACTGGGTAGTGATCCTTGGGCCCAGCGAATCTGCGATGTTGCAGAGCATTTCTCCAAGATACCATGCAATCCAGCGAGTTCTCTCGAACCGCCGCAGGCGCAATCGTGAAATATATTATCTTACGAGCCTCCCCGGCTATGCCATGATATGTTATGCCTGCCTCATAGTAGGTGTTTGCTAATGCCAGTCCGTGAGCCTTGAGCGTCGGACGTAGTATGCCGTAGTTGACGCCGTTCTTGTCCTCCTCTAAATTGCCCGAAATGCTCGGCCCGGTTGTGCCCCGTCCACACGTGGAGTTGAGATTCGTGCCAATGACGGGGATGCATATGGAAGGGGGTCTTTTCAGCTGCTCATGTAACAATGTCCAAAACTATTGTGTCACTATGCGTTGATATGCGGCTGCTCTTTTCCCGTGCCTCTCATCGAAAAACAAAGTAAAACAACTGATCCTACCACGTCGATAGCGTAGCATGATGCCTCTTCCTTGCAATCGCCCTCGTGGGCACTGCGGCTCGTAGCGCTTGACGTGTGGCCCGATGGATTCACCGCAGGACCTGTTGCTGCCAGCGCCATGCCCGGCGTGATAACATTTGCGATGTGATGTTGAGCTCCTGGGCACCTTTCCTCGATCTCTGAGCGCAGTCCCCCGCAGCATTGCAATGTCGTAGCCTGGGGAGGAGAGGAGGCGACCAGGTGGGCGAGGCCGACACATCTGGATTACGCAGGCTTCTCTGCCGCGCCAGACGTGTGAAAAGGAGGAGGGGGGGCCGGGATGACGGATGACGGGGAAGACGCTGGGGGGGCAGATGGCGACGAAGATGGGGGAACCGAGCAAGAGGAAGCCGACGCTGGGCTCATGAACAAAGAAGTACTTACGGGCACTTCTCACGCAATGCAAACTTTGCCCCCCGATGGTTATTACCCGGATCCCTTGCCAGTCTCCAAAGCTGGGTTCGCGCGCGCGACGCAGGCGCACATGCGCCCCCAGTTCTGACCTCCAGTTCTGCAGGGGCGCGCGAGATACATGCGATAAGAAGTCCCACCTTGCAAAGGCGCCCCCGGACTCCATGGGGGCCATCGAGGCCATCGGGGAGCAGTGCATTTCCAAGGGGCACCACCCGGTGGCGGGCTGGAGTAGTAGTATGCGTGTCTTCCGTAGACCACTGGCAGAGTCAGCAATGGAGCTTCTAGTTAGGAGCGGGGCAACACCACGCTGTAACTCATGACGTTGGGATCCAATGCCACCTTCCACATCTCGCTGCGCACCGAAGAAGCCCGCAACCCTGCCCGTCCGGCACGCTGAGCCACGCTGAGCCAGTGTTGTGGCTGATGGGGTCGACCCCAATTGTGCTACCACACCTAGGTATGTATCGATAAAGCCAGTTGCCACTTGTGAGCGTTTCATAATTCGGCCTTTCGGCATTGGGCGGAAAGGGGGGGGGGTCTGGCTCCGGACCTCGGCTTAGTGCCAGTGTTTGCGACAATGCGTCCTGTGGGGGAGGGGCCCCACCTGCTCGAAACAGGCGCCAAAGAAACAGCCAATATCCACCCCAGGGAGAGGGGGAGGGGGGCGTGCGAGGGCCCGCGCCGATCGGCAAAACAAAACGAGTTTAAACAAACGATCACATGTTCGCTCTTCTTTCTTGCTGGCAACATTTGCCCTCCGCAGCGAAGAGCGCCGAAACAAGTGAGTTGTCAACAGTTGTCCTGGCCGCGTGGCCCATACTCGGGCCACGGCTCTCCGCAGATTGCGAGCGCCGGATTGGACTCTCACGCGGGCGCAATTTGGCCTGCGTCGATGTTCTTGCTTGCAACGCCTGCCACCAACTTTCTCGGGCATGTGGCCAGCCCCCCTTCCATCCACACCCCCGACAACTTACGGCCGCCATCGTCGAGCGAAGCGGCCCACGCGCGGCAGGCTGCACCAGCGCGCAGGTCGGCTCAGCAAGCCTTTCTTGTGCTCCCGACCTCGCCAACGTTCTCCCTGGCGACGTGCGTCGGACGCTGAGTCGCCTTCTCCCTTCCTTCGAACGGGTGGTTTCCCAGCCAATGGCCACTCCTGCACTGCTGTCGCATGGTTCTACCCCCGCTGCCGCCAACAAGCCGTGCGCTGGCCGGGGGAGTTGGCAGGGGCTGTCCGAACGCCAGGGAGGCGTCTGCACGTGCCCACGGACGTAGTGTCCCGCGGGATTTCTTTCTGGCTCGGCGCTCTCCTGAGCAAGAAAGCTCCGGAATAACGCGCGCGTGCCATGCAGCCTGCGAGCAAGGCCGCTAGGAGTCAACACTGCGAGGACAAATCGGCCGGGCTGTCCACCCAACCTGTCTTGTCAAACGATGCGTGCGCAGGAGTCAGGGCACGCACTTCTGAACCCAAATCGGCCGTCGGACTTTCCCGCATGACCAGCTCCGCCCTGGATCCAGTCACTGAGCCCGCGTCGACGATCGCGAGCAAAGGCGCTGGCTCGTCGCTCTGCCCAAGGCGAAGCAGCGGGCTGAGAACCAAAGCACCGCGCGGAGCACGCACCTGACCTGCCGCGCAGCCTGGGACTCGATCGGCGAGGAGAAAGTCGAAGGCCGAATGAATCCCACTCGCGCTGCCTCCGCTGCCGCAGCACTTTCTCTGGGCAGCGCTGGCGGACGCGAGCGCGACCGCAGAGCCGACGGGACGCGTCGGGCACTGGCGCGCTCGAGCGAGTGGGAAAGCGTGGAATGGCAGCGGAGCTGCCGCGGCAAACACGTTTTCACGTCGGCGGCTGGGCAGTGCAACCGCGCTGGCGGAAGGGGGATCAAAACGGGGATACAATTGAAACGAATTGTGCCACAATGCATGAAAACGGAGGGCCGCTCAGGGGGACGGGCCGCTCAGGGGGACGGGCCGGGTCACACCCCGGGCGAGTGGCGCGGCCGGCCCCGCAGAGGCCGCCGAGAGCCCGCGGGACCCGCAGATCCGCACAGCCGCCACCGCTCGAGGGCCGCAACTTCCTCGTCGCCGTCCTCCTCCTCCTCCTCCTCCTCCTCCTCCTTCTCCTCCTCCTTCTCCTCCTCCTCCTCCTCGTCCTCGTCCTCGCCCTCGCCCCCCTCCCCCACCCCCCCCTCCTTCTCGTCGAGGGCTCGCGCCCTGCCGCAGCGGGCCGCTGCGGCAGGGCGAGGGCCCCGTGGCACGGGCGCACCGAGGCGGCGGCAGAGCCGAGGGCGCCGCACCCCCACGGGGGCGGCGGGGCCCGAGGAGCGGCGGCGGCCGCGGGCAGGCCAGCTTGAAGGGGCCCTGGGGCACGCCAATGAATGCACACCAATAAAGCAGGTTCCCCCTGTTTTCCCATATTTTCTGGGTTTCTGTCTTCCCCCCCCACTGCCCATGTTTTCCCATGTGTTCGGGGGAATCGGCGATTAAGTGTGTCTGTGTGTGTTTTTCCCCTCCTGACAACTGGCGTGTGCGGGCGCAGTCCAGTCGGGAAGACGTAAGCCTCGGGTGCGTCAGGTTCGTGTCGTGCCGACTTCGGCGCTGGTTTATGACACCGCGGGGACTGGTCAACGTTGAACGATCGGCCGTGTACGAAACGTCCAAATCGTTCCATATCGAACGATTCTGGGTCGCCCGCGGCGTTCAAAAATGAACGCCGCTGGCGGGGTCGCCGCCGGTCGACACGACGCGAACCTACCGTACGGGGGACTCGGGTTGGCCTGACGGGGGCCATCATGAAAATGACGAGATGCCCAATCTGAAATTTGACGCGGGCTCCCGCTGCAGACATCCCACGGGAACCGGACCGTCAAAATCCAGGACGCGCTCGTCAAAAAACGTCGGCGAACCCGAGTCCTGGCTTACTCGAGTCTTATGTTTCCCCGATCCAGGAGAGCCCAGAAGCGCATCGACAAGTCGGATCGGCGATCGAAATGAGTCGGATCGGCAGAGATCGGCAGCCACGTCGGGAGAGGTCGGATCGGCAGACGTCGGCAGGCTGGTGTAGGCCTCCATGGAGGAGTCGGCATCCGAATCGGAATCCGAGGTCGAACCACATCGGAATCGGAGGCCACCGAAATCGAATCGCATCGACTCGGAGGAATCGAAATGAGCCGCCCTCACGAGAAGCACCCCACAAGAGCGAAGCCCGTCTGCAGACGCGCCCAGACTGGGAGGTCTCGGACTGGGAGCCCAGCCCTTTCGCAGGACTCGGGCATGGGAGGACTGCTCGATAAACGCCCAGGACAGTTCGGTAAGCTCCAGTTCTGGGACTCGGGGTGGTTCTTCCTTCGTTGGGAGGGGGGAGGACGGAGGGATATGAGTGCTGCTTCTCGATGCGGAGGACGCCTGCTTCGTGGGGTTGGCAGAAGATGCATCATCGACTCGTCGACGGTACACTGGCGATGCCTTCTGGTATGGAAGCCCTGGACGAAAAAAGCAGCAAAACTACATAACACCTTCCAGAGGCGGATGTCCTTAATCAGCGCTGGACCCCCGTCCCTACACCCCTGAGGCGGCGTCGACACACCAAATCCGCACAGACCTCCAGACATTCGCACGTTCATGCAAATGTGTGGCTTCGGGGGCCCATGGAGGAGGCCTTCGCTCAGTACGCTTCCGCGGCTCGCCGGCCAAAGCGCCCCGCCATGGTCCTGTAGTCGATGCGAGGGTACACCTTGTAGTCCCGGACGGCCGCGGCTATCTCTGCCTGCACCCCTCCCCCAAGCACTGGACCTTCCGCAATTGATCCGTATCCCTCTGGACATCTCTGGACTCACCCCGCTATCTCCAAGGTTGCATCGAACAACGTCAATGTACATCGATACGTCCAGCTTCTTCCCGCAAGTCCATTGGATAAGAGTCGTCCAGCCCTCCCGGAAGCGGAAGCGCAGGGGGTCGCAAGAAGAGCGTTAGGGAGCCAGCTGCACGCGGCTGGTTCTCCGACGCCTCCCAGCGCCGGAGGCGGCCCTGCACCGCAGAGTGTGCCCTGTGGCCGGGCCCCGAAACCAGCGGCATGCAGCAGCTCTCGTAACCCTCCCTCTACCCCCCTCCCCCCCCCCTCCGTCCAAACCCGACACTCTGTCTCATCCTCCTGCTCCTCCGCCTCCCTCTCTTCGCCCTCGCTGTATCGACACACATACACACACACATACACGAAGCCCGCCCCGACTCCGCCCATCGCTGGCTCCTGGCCGCTCCCCCAAGGCTTCGGCACGGCAGAGGAGTGAAAGCATCCTCCTCCTCCCCCCCCATTTCTCCTCCTTCTTACCCTCGTTCTCGCCCTCCTCCTCCGCCTCCTCCTCCTTGTCCTGCCTCTCTGCCCCTCCTCCTCGTCCTCCCGCCTCCCCTGATCTCCTTGTGCAGACCTCTCTGGAGGGAGCGTCCGAACCCTGAGAGGCAGCTCCAAGCAGAGGCGGCCACAGCGCCGGCCACACTGTTTAGCCTAGAAGTGCACCCGGTGGCCTCGGGCTGGTGTCTTCCCTCGTCAGACTGCACAACCACAAACTTTCGACGGTCCGCGCGTATATCTTGGATCTGCGCTGGACCCCCCTGGCGGCGCCTCGAGCGCTGCCCCTGGCGGGCTCCGCGCGACAGGGAGGAAGGTCCAGCGCAGACCAAAGAAATCCGCGCGGACCATCGAGAGCTTATGTCGGTGGCGCGCAAACACGGGTTAGCGATCCATGGATTTGGCGCGCGGTCGCCAAATCCATGGACCGGGGGATGTGCCCTCCCCAAAATGCGGCCGGCGCCGCCTCGTTCGGCAGTGGAAATCCGCGATTTCCCGTCGAAACGGGCTTCTTGATTCATGTCTGCGATCATCTGATTCCGTTTATGCTGTTTGTTCCTGGCCCCAGCCCCTTCCAGACGCCTCCCGCCGCCAATCCGAACCCCGACCAAGATCTGTTCAATATCAGCCCCTGGGCCCATGACGTGGTCCATCCCGGCGGCCGCGGGGCCCGAAGAAAGCCTGCGGAGGCCGAGAACGACGAAAACATCTATCCTCGACTTGTTCTTGATGGGCCGGGGTAGAAAGGAGGATGGCGGGGTCCTCCTCCTCCTGAGCATTTAGGGAGGAGGGCTCAGGGTGAACTCCGTAGGGGCTTTCGCACCTCGAAAATCAATCCGTCTTGTGATTCACCGTGTGCAGGTTCCAAACTCGAAACTCCATCGAAGCGGCATTTCAGAGTTTTCACCCTTGGCCCTCCAACCACAGAAAATGCTCGGTCCTCCTCCTTCTCCTCTTCCTCCTCCTCTTCCTCCTCCTCGTTCCTCGTCCTCCTCCTCCTCCTCCTCTTCACCCTCCTCCTCCTCCTCCTCCTCCTCCTTCTCCTCCCTCTCCTACCTCTGGGAGTGGTGGTGGAACATCGGCCCATCAACTCCTGCTGCCTCGAACTTCGCCCGCCGCTGGGAGAAGGGCCAGCGGACTCGCAGTCTGCGCAGGCCCCTCAGGCGGTCGGCCGCCGGGTGCGGTCTCCCGCCGACGCCCTCCCCCTGGAAGCCCGGAGTGGGCACCGGCACCAACAGAGGGGGGCTGCCTCCAAACGGGGGGGAGAGTATCCTAGATTTCGGTGCTGGTGGTAGCAGTTCGGTCCCCTCGGAGGCCAGAATCTCGCCACCATCACCGACGGTCGGGATCTTCTTCCCTCGGTGGAGGAACACCGCCGATGTCGGTGTCGGAATCGACCTCTAGGCCTGCGATCCCTCCCTCCCGCGCCCCTGCCCACAGCGCTCCCGTCACCGACCCCGGAACTCGCCATCGCTCGGACGTCCATTCCCTCTGCTTTGTTCGGTTTCGTGCGTGATTTTTTCGCCAAGTGATCAAGGATGCTCCTCGATGGTCCTCGCCGAAGGAAAAATGCACACGTCCGAGCGATGCCAAGGGAAACCCCCCGCCTTGGACGCCATGGCGGCGAGGTAAAATTCGCT